ATAATCTAGACTGCCAGAGAGTAAACAATAATTTAGACTGCCAGAGAGTAAACAATAATCTAGACTTCCAGAGAGTAAACAATAATTTAGACTGCCAGAGAGTAAACAATAATCTAGACTTCCAGAGAGTAAACAATAATTTAGACTGCCAGAGAGTAAACAATAATCTAGACTTCCAGAGAGTAAACAATAATTTAGAGTGTTAGAGAGTAAAAAATAATCTAGACTGCCAGAGAGTAAACAATAATTTAGACTGCCAGAGAGTAAACAATAATCTAGACTGCCAGAGAGTAAACAATAATCTAGACTGCCAGAGAGTAAACAATAATTTAGACTGCCAGAGAGTAAACAATAAACTAGTCTGTGAGAGAGTAAACAATAATCTAGACTGACAGAGAGTAAACAATAGGTATAGACTGTCAGGGAGTAATCAATAAATCTTTTCTTGAAGGACTAGACAAAAATCCCCTGCTAGGGCACAATGAACAATCTAGACTAATAAGGAGTAAACAATAATGAAGTCTGCCAGAGAGTAAACAATAATCTAGACTGCCAGAGAGTAAACAATAATCTAGACTGCCAGAGAGTAAACAATAATCTAGACTGACAGAGAGTAAACAATAATCTAGACTGACAGAGAGTAAACAATAGGTATAGACTGTCAGGGACTAATCAATAAATCGTTTCTTGAAGGATTAGACAAAACTCCCCTGCTAGGGCACAATGAACAATCTAGACTGGTAAGGAGTAAACAATAATGTAGACTGTCAGAGAGTAAAAAATGATCTAGTGTATCGGGGAGTAAACAATAACCTAGTGTCAGAGAGTAAATAAAATTCCTGTCTTTCTAGGTGTAAACAATGATATTTATTAGTTATAACTTTGATAAAGTGACAAGTCATGTTGTCAATTATATATATATATCAATTTGAGTGTTACTTTTTGTAGTATATGATCTTTGTGACCCGATTGTGCTTCAGAGATGGTTCACTGATTTTGATTCGCTGTATATTCTAGTTTTCTTTTACCCCATAACTTGAGCTTCATTATATAGTTAGACCCTTCGTAACAGCAGTCATCTGACAGACTGCCAGAACCTTTCAGTCTATGTAAGGACCACTGCCAAACCTACGAACATATTTGAATTCGCTGCAGTTTGTTTCACAAAAATAGCACAGCCTTCAGTTGGATATTCACTGTGCTGTATTTGTTGGTATCAGTTAAACCTACTGAGAGGAGATACTCAGTGGTTTAATCTTCATGTTTCTATACTTTAGAATGAAAGTTTCAATTTTGTCTGCGTTTAACATAGTAGAGCGTCTTTATCAGTCTTAATATTCCACTAAAGTTTAGGTATTTAGTGGTTATATTTCATAATTATAATATTTCTCCCATTAAGATTAAGTGTTTTGGTGCATTTTTTAGATAATAGAAAATAAACTTCTCTTCGAGAAAGGAGTAAATACAGAGCCATCTGATGGAAATATAGAGAATATTATTCAAAATGACAGTGGTTTAGCTTTTGATGACGTCATCAAGAATTATAAGGAAATGGAAATAAAGGTGAGGTTAATTTTAATTATATCTTAATATGCTAGTGTTGATATTGCATACTGTAATTTGCTACGAAATAAACGTCCGATTTTCATGTGTAAACATTTCAACGAAAAATGGCAAAAAACCTTTGGTACATTAGGCTGTGACATCCTACTGGTGTTCTGTTCCTAGCCACGTGGTCCGATTGTTCCTCAGGTGTGTAACATCCTACTGGTGTTCTGTTCCTAGCCACGTGGTCCGATTGTTCCTCAGGTAGGCTGTGACATCCTACTGGTGTTCTGTTCCTAGCCACGTGGTCCGATTGTTCCTCAGATGTGTAACAGGGTTGGATGTTAAATGCGTAAATCCGGAATTTGAAAAATAAGATTCAGTGGGCATAAAGAGACACGTAGCTGTGTCGTCAGCTAACTATCGTCATTGGAAGCACGAGCTGCGCGGCTTGTGATTTTATTACGTCGCATTCCGGCTCGGTCGGTTTTGAATTACAGTTTGGGTGCAAAAAAATCGAGTCTGTGTTTATAAATATTTATTTTTCATACATATTTTGGGCTCAAGCATCTCCTGAAGGTAGCCTAACTTATTGGAAATTCTATTTGACAATGTCTTATGAAAAGTTGTTTTATTTATTTGTCCGAGTGAAAATGTACAATTTTGAAACCATTGTAAAAATACCATAAATTACTGCTTATAATCGAGCTGTTTGTAGCAGACATTCGCCGTGGTAACCAGTCCTTGTTGCCACTAGCGACCGAGTGTCCTGTGGAAAATATAAAGCGTAGTAACCAATGAACTATAGCTTCTTAATCAATCAATACTTTACTTTATCATTTGCACTTTTAATAGCATTTCATGCTAACTGATAAATTAGGATATTTAAAGGAAAGCCGTCTGGGCAATGACTTGTAGCAAAATAAAAACATTCTGGAATCTTATTTTTACACACTGCTGATTTAAAATGAACTAATTGGGAGGAATGTGGATAACACATGTGCAGTTAAGCGTTCTATTTATGATAAGTATTTTTTATTTTGGGAAGTGATTAGGTGATTATTAAGAAATAAACCGCTATACGTGTATATTTTTAAAACATAATTCTTGTGTCGCTTAAAGTTACAGACTTCAGCAGCTGAAAGTATTAAAATCTATGACAGAAACATCGCTGTAAAATGTTTAGCAATATATAGTATTCAAACTTTGTAAAACATGTAACTATATCGCTATGCTAAACGTTGTTTTTTTTTATCATTAAGCCTAATGTATCGTATTGCTTGGGGTCCAGGGATATGGTTACCTGTTCTGTCCCTTGATGAGTTAGCTTCGAAGCCAAACTCTCCTTGTTTTGTTATTATGTGCGTGTATTCAATAAATTTTATAATGTATCACAGAAAGTTCATACAAGTTAGTAGAACATGAAACATAAAATGTGTTAGTTAAGGTAAATTTTCTTTGTCCATTTTTCTATGTAATGTTATATCTCTCAAAGAAAAAGCAACTTAATATTTTGTTATTACAGTCATTTCCGATGTTTCAACCAATAACGACTCTACAAAGCTTTTATTTAGTTTGTTTTCGTATATTCACGAAAAGCTACCCGAGGGCTCAGTATCTACTCTACGTTTAAACTTACAGACAAGAGGGAAGGCTGCTAGTCAACGACATCCACCGCCAACTCTTTGGCTGCTCTTGTTTGTCCGAATAATGAGATTTGACCGACACCCGTATAAACCCACCCAGGACCCTAAAAGTGTGAAACGTGATTTTTTTTTTCGGTAATACAAAGTGTACACTGGTTCAACACTTCGGCACGCTAACTACTCTGACGCGTTTGGCACAAAGCTTTTAGAACGTTTTTTTCTTGTTATTTTCGTTTTAACGTATCGAAGATTGAGTGAGTTTGAATATTACACAGGCCTGCGAATTTAAACTTCATAAAAGTTGTTTTGGTTTTAATAACGGATTTCCCATAATTCAGTTACGCAGATTTCGAAAATAATATTCATTTTTCTATCACGTAAGAATTTTTTTACAAATCGGGAAGAAAAAAAAAACTCTTACTTAGATCAAATTATTATTTCATTTAC